CACAAATCTCCGCTCGGCGACTTTCGGACTGACCATCAATCATCACAGCCCGGGACGAATCCAACCTCGAGTTCCGAGCTTTCGTGGCCATGGCCTCCTCCTCCTCCCCAGGCCATCTGCTGCCACCGTTGTGCCTTTCAACCCGTTCGTTCCATCCTGCACACGCATCTGTCGAGACGATGACATCTCACCGTCATTGTAAACTTCCGAGTCTGAATGGCTGCACCAAACACCTCAATATAGGTATAACGCCCCGCCCGTGCTCAGATGTACGCACCGCGTTCCAATGCTGCGATGTCGGAGTGGTTAACGAGTCGTTCGTCTCTGCCTCAGCTCTAACCCCGCGCTACACGACTAACGCGTCGCAGAGACTTGAATCCGTTCACGCCATCTGATGCCTTCGGGCGCGCAGGTTCGAATCCTGTTCGCAGCGTTTTGTCTTTTGCACCTTTCCCATCTGCTTCGTCTGCGTCTGGTCCGTGGAGGGATGGGGGCATTGGCGCATTCACTGCACACCTCATGGACGAGGTCACATCGCATGCGGCCGACCAAGAGCTTCCCCGCCAAGACCGGGCGCGGACTGCGCGACTTCCTCCCGTCCTCCCCTCGTCACTATCACCCTGCCTCTTCGCTACAGACCTTCGTCTACACCTTCCACACTGCATGCAAGTCGGTGGACGGCCATGCTCATCACCCACCCGCTTGCGTGAATGAACACGAACGACGGGCGCAGTCCGGACCCGGGGCTGCGGCCAACGTTTCTGGAGAATGGGCGGGTGCACTCCGAGCCGGTCAGCTTCGAGGGTGAGTGGGCCGGTGGCTCCAGCCCCGGCGCACACATCAGAGTCTCCGCGCCGGAGAGACCGTCGTTGCCCAAGCGCGGAACGTTGAGAGGCGAGAGCACGAAGAGCCTGAGCGAGGCCTTGCGCCTGGCCCGCTCGAGAGAGGAGCAAGAGACTTTGCTTGGGGACCATGAGGAAGCGGTAGGAGAGAGTGCGAGGCCCGGGACATCGAAGCGGTGCTCATGGATGTGTGCAGGATGACGATGGCTGCTATCCGCCGCGATCAACAGACGCGCCCAGAACACCCAATCCGCACGCCTCGCTTCCGATCTACACGACGATCCACAAGATCAGGCGCCTGATCATTGCAAGCATAGGTATGGCCGGTTCCGCCCGGGGAATCGAAGGTGTGGCAGGAGTGGTGGCTGCTGATGGGTCCGGTAGACGATCCGTACTCCCTCGAGCAGCTGAAGAGCCCTCGCATGAACCAAGCAGTCCTTCGACCTCTGGTGGACCATCTCTACGATCCGGATGACGTCTCCATCGTCTACTGTCTGCTAGTCAACCGTGTCCAATTTCTGCGGGAGCAATCATATCAAGCCCACCACCAGACAGTCAATGTCACGCGAGCCAACCTGTGCGAGATCACCGCCAGCCGCATCCTCCGGCGCTATGACGAAGACCATGAAGGCAGAGAAGGTCTGCTCATGCTGGCCAACGTACTCGTCGCCGGCTTCGAACCTTTCCAGAATGCGCCTGGCGAAGTCGTCAACCACGAACAGTCTACATTGCACTGGACAATTCGTTGGGGTCTGACACGGCCTGAATTCCAGCGCATGCTCACTGCCCTCGAAGTCGCAATCATATCCGAGTCCAAGCAATTCCTCAGTTCCTCGGCATGCCAGAAGATCGTCGACAATGTCTATCGCGGTCGCATCATCTACACGCCTACGAGCTTCATCGACTTCCTCCCGGACCACTACAAGAACCGCGGCATCTCGCTGTACGACCCTCGCAAGGCACCATATCTCAACCAGTACCGCCTGATCGTCCCACGCACTCGGAATATCCTGGAAGTCGTCCAATTTGTTGTGCTACTCGTCCTCTACGTCCTGGTCATGACGTACAAAGCGCATGCGATCGGACCCTCACATCTCAAGTTCACCGTCAACGAGCTGATCTTCATGGTGTACGCCATGGGTTGGGTCCTGGATGAATTGGCTTCAGTAGCTGAGCACGGCTGGACAGTTCATACGGAGAACCTATGGTCCTTCCTGGACATCGCATTCGTCGTGATCTTCTGGACGTACTTCGGCATTAGAGTGCACGGCCTCGCAACGAACGACGGCAGCACCAGCAAACTGGCGCTCGACGTCTTGTCGATGGCTGCGCCCGTCCTACTGCCACGACTGGCATTCTGCCTCATGACGGAAAACATGCTATTCATCTCGCTCCGCGCCATGATGGCCGACTTCACCTTCCTCACGATGCTCGCAGTGTGGTGCTTTGGCGGCTTCCTGATCGCCATGCGGTGGCTGAGCGAGACGCAGGATGGGTATATCCAGCACAGCGTCATCACCATCGCCAAATGGATGCTCTGGATCTGGTTCGGACTCGACGGATCCGGAATACAGCGCTCGGCGGAGATGCACTGGCTCCTGGGCCCGACGCTGATGATCACGTTTGCGTTCCTGGGCAACACACTCTTTTTGACCATCCTGGTCGCCATGCTGAGCAATACCTACATGAGCCTGGCCCAGAATGCCACGGCCGAGATCCAGTTCCGCCGCGCAGTCCTCACCTTCGAAGGCGTCAAGTCCGATGCGCTGTTCGCCTACCGCCCGCCCTTCAACATCCTCGCCCTCGTCATCTTACTCCCGCTCAAATGGATCCTCACCGACCGCTGGTTCCACAAGGTCAACATCACCGCGGTCCGCGTCCTCAACGCCCCCATCCTCTTCATCGTCTCCGTCTACGAGCGCCGCTACCTCTGGCGACGCTCGCGCACGCTGCCCGCGCTGCGCAAGCACAACTGGATGACGATGTGGGAGCGCTTCGGCGCGCACGGGGATCTGCAGGCCGTGTTCGACACGGAGCCCCCGCAGAGCGTGATTGAAGAGATGGACGATGTGGATGATGTGCTGGGTGAGTGGGACAACGGGTATGCGAATGCGCTGAGGGCGCGGAGGGACAGTCGCGCGACGAGCGTAGCGAGTGGCGTGTGGGGCCGGAACATGTCGAGGGATCCGGGTATGAGGCAGAACCTACGGCTCAATGGGTTCCGGAGGAGGAGCACGAGGGACGAAGGGGTGGGGACGGATTTGGCGGAGGTGTAAAGCGGCCTCCGATGCCTAGATCCCTGGTCACCTATCGAGCTTTATTGTTCACCTCATTCTCCCTCGCCTCCGACTCCTTGTCTGCTGCATCTTGTGACCCACTCGGGTCTTGTCCAATGTCCTTCACGTCCCGAAGTTCCTTCGTCGTGCCTTCCAGGTCTTCCAGCTGTGCATCGATCTCCGCTATCCTCTCTTACAGCTCTGCGAACTTCTTGCGCGCTCTTCGGCATTCTTGAGGGGGTCTAGAGCTCTTCGCGCATTCTCTACTGCAAGCCTTAGGGTTGCGCTTGAGCTGCTTTGAGCGGCTTATATGGCGGCCTTCATGTCGACAGCCAGCTGCGTTTGGTCAGGAGGACTCCCGATCGCCTCACGGGTGATGGTCTCCAATCCATAGATACTTGTATTGTACTACTGGGTCGTGAGGTGGTAGCTGCACAGGCGCATTTGAGCGAGGAGAACGGCTTGACCGTGCCGATGACCTCCGAAGCTTGACGGCCGGAAGCCAGCTTCACTTCAACTGATACCAACAACAAACTCCCTTCGACGCCGTTGACCTTCGCCAAAGTCATGGCCGCACGACTGCCGTCCACGCTCCGCACAGCAGCCACTCCACGAATCGCCGCATCCGTGCTCAGACCTAGCATATCGCAGCAAACGCAGCGAGCCTTTCGAACCAGCATACCACGCCTGCAGGAAACCGTGATCGCAGCGCCCCCTGTGGTACGCAAGCCAGTGGGCGCTTTCCGAGGAACGTACGTGGACGCCTTGCCCAAGCCAGCAACCCAAACACCGAGGCGCGTCTAAGACTGAGAGCTGATTCAGTCACAGCCTCTTTGGCTTCCTCCTCGGCTCGGTATTGGCAGGTAGCGGGCTGTACTACTACGTAATCGATGAGTACAAGGTGTCGAATGAACTGTTGACGGAGGACATCTACGTACGCACCGTGATTCCGTCTGTGGTGTGGCTGGTAAGGTACTGACACCGCAGTAGGCACTTCAAGCGGCTGTCCAGCGGTTAGAGATCTACGTTAAGGGCGTGGAAGAAGGAGTCAAGACGGGCAAGAAGTGAGAGGGCGCCGAACAAGAGCTCCAACACACGGCCAGAGGCGTGGTCCAGATCGACGCGCGGCTCCCACATCCTGTACATGTATAGACCCACGACGCATTCCAGATCATCCAAACCTGCACATGTGGTCCTCGTCACGCCGGCCAACGCCCGCTAATGCAGCAAAGCCACCAAGATCGCCGTCAAGATCCTTCGTCCAAGCATCAGCTTGCCGTCAGCTCCGCACCGCAGTCTTCGCCTCCTCGATCTTCTTCGCCGCAATGGTAGCGAGCTGCTCGAGCTTCTCCTTCCGCACCTTCCGCACGTACCGGAAGAGCAAGATGAAGAGCAGCTCCACCCTCTCTTTCGTCATCATGAGGATACCCTGGACCAGCAGGCCTTTCAAGAGCTGAGGTGCTACGCCTTTGTAGAGCCCGAGGGGACCTTCCTTCTCCACGATGAACCGCATGACCTCGAGGAAGGATTTGAAGGGCTTGCCTTTGCGAGCGGGGGGTGGCCGGGACTG